TCTCTCTCTCTCTAACACACACTCACACTCACACACACACACACTTGTACATACACACACTTGTACATTGACACACACATAGACACACACATACACACACTCACACACACTAACACGCGCACAATCACACACACGCACACACACTTGTACATTGACACACACACACTTGTACATTGACACACACATACTTGCTGCAAGTTGGGGTTCTGAGGAAACCTCTGACACACGTTGCACAAGCCATCCAAGGCGGATAAAGCCAGAGAAATAAGGACGATTTTGTATCTTTATATAATATGCAGATATTCTACACTCCCATGTAAAATACAATACCGACCATTTGGGAGGCTGGCTTCGACCCTGCTGCCAGGACCAACCCGGACAGAGAGGGTACAGTATCCTGGCAGAGAGACTGAGACACTCAATAAAAATTCTTCCCAAACTAGAATCGAACTCAGGACGTCGGCCTGGGACGGGAAAGTGCCTAACTACTACACCACCGACGCCGCTGATACAGTGGATGACAAAACAGTGGATGCACAACGCAATGGATACACAAAACAGTGGAAGGCGAAACAATGGATGATAAAACAATGGATGACAACAACAATGGATGACAAGACTATGTTTGCAATATAAAATGGATAAAAAAAATAATGGATGCACAAAGCAATGGATGACAAAATAATATATGACAAACCAATGGATGACAACAACAATGGGTGCACAAAGAAACGGATGACAAAATCAGGGATGACAAAACAACAGATGCGACAAAAATGGATGACCAGACTATGTGTTCAACAGAACTGGATGACAAAACCATGTATGCAACAGAAAATGGGTGACAAAATAATGGATGTACAAAGCAAGGGATGACAAAAAAATGGATACACAAAACAATGGATGACAAAACAATGGATGACAAAACAATGGATGATAAAACAATGGATGACAAAACAATGGATGAAAAGACAATGGATACACAAAACAATGAATGACAAAATCATATGTGACAAAACAATGGATGACAAAACTATAAATGACAACAGTGAATGACAACAGTGAATGACAACAACGATGAATGACAACAACAATGGATGAACAAAGAAACAGATGACAAAATCAGGGATGACAAAAACAATGGATGACAAAACAAAGGATGTCAAAACTATGGATGACAACAACAGGGGATGACAACAACAACGGATGACAAAATCAAGGATGAAAACACAATGGATGATATTCTCACTTGAAGTTTTGCGTCTAGAGAGGACTGTCCTAGAGTATCTGAGAGATGACTGCCCCCGAACGTCGCCAGCATTGGGTTATGCTGCTGTTGTTGCTGTTGCTGTTGCTGCTGACTGTTGTTGAGGTTGTTGTTGTTTTGATGGTGCCGGTTCTTCCCGTCTTGCGCACCGCCATTTTGCGCATGCGCGTGTGAAGACGGAAACTCGGAGTCGTGTCTCACGAAGAGCCCGTTGAGCACATGGTTGGAGGTGTGACCAGAGGCCCCAGGGTTTTTCTTATCCTTCGCCCCATTGTCGTAGCCGTCCTCGTTGTAAGCTAGTCCTTGTTTGATGATCTCCGCGGCCTCTTCTCGCAGACGCACGATTTCTGGCGACACCTTCAGATAGAAAAAAAAATGAATTTAAAAAAATTACTCATTTGTTTCTATGCCCCTCCC